CCCCAATAGCCGCGCCCTCCGGTATGCCTTCGGCGGTGAAGGCGACCGCCTCGGTTTTTGAAACCGAGACTCTCAACCCCAGCCGCTCTATAAGCCTTATCACATATGTGGACCCCAGTTCGGCTCTGATACGCGCCTCGTCAAACGTCGCAGCATCCGCGATCAGCAACGTATCGTCCGCATAACACAGCACTGAGCACCCCATTGGCATGTTCGCTCTCAGTACGGAATCGTACCCTATGTTCCACAGGGTCGGTCCTAAGACCGAGCCCTGTGGAACCCCGCGCGTCATGGTTTCCCGCACCAATCTATCTCTGCGGTCCACATAGGACAGGCCTCTATCCGAGAGGTAATCGTGAAGGATGTTCCGGAGATACCCCGGAACACCCTTCTCCTCCAAGGCTCCCCTGATAATGGCCACGGGAGGGAGTTGAATGCATTCGCGATGTCCAAGGACACCGCGACTACAACACCCCCATCCCGTGTGACCCGCCCCACTCGCTCCCTAAGGCACCATATCGCGTCCACTGTGGACTGATGCCGCCTAAAACCATACTGCCCGTCCGTAATGCCTTCTGTATCGTCTAAGAAGGTTTGAAGCCTCCATACGACCACTCTCTCGAGCAGCTTCCCCGCCTCGCTCAGCAGACACAGGGGCCTGTACGAGGGCGGGGAGAGATCCGGCTTACCCGGTTTTTTGATTAATACTAGCCTCGCTAGCTTCCACTGTCGTGGAAAGTGCCCCCTCCTGAGGCAGTCTGTGAAACACCTTGCCCATACCGGAGCAAGGCTTTCCATAGTCTTTTTAATTACGTGACCCGTGATCCCGTCCGGTCCCGAAGCCTTGCTCAGTTTCACCTTGGTCCCGGCCTCCAGCACCTCAACCGGAGTGACCGCCATTTCGTCGCGCCACTCGACCAAGGTCCCCGCCACCTGCGGTGTGTTGTCCGCAGGAAACAGGGTCGTCACAATTTCCCCCATTATCTCAGGAGGGAGCACCTCCACCACAGATGCGCCGCCCGCTTGTAGTTTTTTAAGCACTATTCGGTAAGGCCTACCCCACGGATCCCTATCCAGATCGCTAAGTAGTTCCCCCCATAGTTTCGCTTTCGATCTGCTGATTGCTCTCCTTAGCCTACGTCTGGCCTCTCGCAGTTCATCCCACCGTGTTTGAACGTCAGCATGGAGTGCCCCGCTCCTCGCACGCGCTCGCTTCTCCTGCACGCGTTGCAGTTACGGCGTAGGTCCGCGATTTCGTCATTCCACCAGCAGGTTGACGGTTTCCTCGCAAGTCCCCTCCTTGCCATCGACGCGTCCGAGATGTCTCGGAGTGCCCGGTCCATCCTCTCAACTGCTGGATTGGCATCCCCCATGGTGTCGCTCCACACCGTGAAAATCGCCGCAGCCTCCATCATATCCAGGTCAGCTCCTCCGACCGCCCATCTGGGGAAGGCTTTGAGTGCCGTCCTTCCTGTGGTTGGCCCGATCAAAGAGGTCCCGATCTTCATGGTCACATATTTGTGATCTGAGAGGGACTCCAGCTCGGCCTCCACCCTCCAAGAGGAGATTCTCCTCGCCGCCGTCGGTGTCGCTAGCGTAAGGTCTACGCATGATACACCTCGCGGATGCACACACGTGGGCACTGTTCCCTCATTCAGAACCTGAAGGTCCATTATACTTATCCAATCAGACAAGATGGCACCTCTTCTATTGGATCTCCCAGGGTCCCATGCAGGGGCGCGGGCATTAAAGTCCCCCGCGATCACCACTGGGTATCCCCTTACTCCTAACAGTTTACTCTCTAACTCATAGAGGTCTCTAGAGAATTCAGTCTCACTGAGACTGGGGGAGAAGTAACATGATACAATGATTACATCTCCCCAATCCACCGCTACGAACCTCCTGCCCCTCCATCGAAGGGTGCACGGCACCCTTTCCCAGCTCCACTGCCACGTTATGGCTGCCGAGGGAGGGTTGTCGCCAGAGGACACCCAACGGCCATTGTCCGGGATACCGTTGGGCTCCGCGACAGCCACAATTCCCAGTCTCAGCTCCTCACTCACCCTCGCGACCATATCTTGCGATGGTCGCGATCTGTTAGTGTTTATTTGAGCTAGTCTAGCCATTGGTCACCTCCATACTACCCGGCTCATCTGCTGGTGCCAGAGCTCCCCGATCAGCCCCGGCAGATGTTCCCTCAATGTTCACACGCGTGTCGTCACTATTAGGTGCTTGTCCGCGTCCGTTATACGGCACGCACTCTGTCGCGCCCGCACGGTGCCCCGAAGGTAACCCTCGCCCCGCACATACCGGGCAATTCGGGGGCTTTCTGCAGCCGGCAACTCTATGTCCATCACTTCCGCCGCATTGAAAGCACCAGGTGGAGCGGTCCACCTGGCTCAGACAGTTGGCTCTAGTGTGCCCCACAGCAAAGCAGCGGAAGCATTGAAGCCTCCGCTTTGCCAGGGGCACCACTCCCGCCATTGTCCACCCCACTCTTAGACGCCCGTCGCCTAATAATTTATTCGCGCACGACAGTGGGCATTGTACCCACACGGCATTTAGGCCACCCCTTCCAGGCCTAAGGGGGCCAACCCTAATGTCCGAAGTCTGCGCTTGTCCACTCCTCGCCACTGCCTCAACCACCTCTTCAGCGGTAACAGACTGGTCAATGTCGACCAGTCTGATTTCCGCCCTTCGCATCGGCCTGATCACCTTCACCTCCTCTTTATACTCACTATCAGCGAGGACAACTTTCAGCTTATTCACCAGAGCCTCCGCTTTGGCCCCAGCTTCTTCCCCTCCTGGGATCTCGATAAGGAGGCCCCCGGCCTGCGCCTTCCTTATCCGCGTGTTGACGATGCTGAGGTCATCTAATGAGATCTTGCTCCTGGCAAGTCTCATGACCCCAGCATACGTCACTCCGCCCGGCCTTTCCTCGTTCTCCGCGCACTTTATTAACACCGCTGCCGTTCTTGGTGCCCGGAACCTATTATCCTTCGCTGGGGGGGGGGGTCGCCTCCCCGCGTTTCCCGGGTCCCCCGCGCGAGGGCGATTCGCAGCACTGTCGAAAGTGGGGCCTCTCGGTGCCCCACCGCGCGCACTCGCTCCCGTCGTGTTTTTAGCCGTGCCGGCCCGGCGCACTCCGGCAGTAGTACCCCCTACGGAAGGCGGGGGCACAACAACCCGTCCGTCCCGCACCTCGACACTCGCATCAGGGGCCGCTCTTGTCTTCTCTTTCTTCCTCAACCTTTTGCGCGCCCTTTTCGACCTTGCCTCCGTCCAGGCTTCGTCACTGGCCGGGTACTCCATCGAAGGCGGCGAACTCTCCAGGTCCCGGTCGCCTCCAAGCCCCGTTCCGTCATTGCCGCCCATCGGTCCCTTTTTTGTTCTTAACGCATACGCGTCCCCACATTTATTCAGGGCGGATCGCCTTGCGTCTCCCATCTCTATATCCCCCATGTCATTTACCCTCGTTAGTCGAGGGGGCCTGTCCTCTAACCTTTTACAGACCCCACCAATCGGCGGTCGGTATGCCGGAGGGAGGTTCTCGGCTGCATCCACGTAGACATCATTGCTCCTCACAGTACGCTCACCCCTAACTCGTCCCCGGGTTCTCATCGGAGAGCCTTCACCGCGGGTCTCTACATCCGAGGATGGGACGCGGCTCCTGCCGCGGCCTCGTTCCCTGTTTCTGTCCTTCAATTCTTGGACCGTATTCTGCAGCGCGTTCATTTGTTCTCTCATTTTCTCTCTCTCTCGCCGGAGGGTGTCCACCTCCCGGCGGAGTTTGATCACCTCTCTTTCCAGGGCCAGGTTGTTGGCCCTGACTTCATCGGTTGGTCCCGTACCTTTTGAGATCTCTGAGACCAGCCTTTGAACCGCAATTTTGGCCACATTAACGCCTACCTTTATTTGGCGGCGCAGGTCTCCCTTCATGGTTTGGGTCCGCCTTTCCGCTTCGCCCGCGGTCTCCAGCACCCTCAGAGTCTCCGCCATCACCGATTTTGGGGACATTTGAGGGAATAGGGCAGTCACCTCCTCTATGGCATCCTTTTGGCAGGACGAAAGCCTGTCGTCCAGATGATATTCAGCTAAGCCCTTCCTTCTTTTCAGTCCGCGTCCGGGCCTCTTGGGGATCTTGAAAAAGTCCACCCTGTCCAGCTCGTCATCCTCGAAGTCCATACGCTTCGAGGAGAGCTTAGACAGGGCGTGAGCTCCCAGGCAGTTGGAGCCCTTCGGCTTCCGCCCCCTCTTCTTACCCTTCTTAGGAACTTGGTCAAACGATGAAGATAGATCTTCAGAGTCCTCGACGGAGGTAGAGGGCGTCGGGTCTCCCTCCGTGGACTTTTCCTGCTCCGTCTCTACATCTATCACGCTGGGTGCATTTGAGGATGCATCTCCAGCGTCAGCTCCGCCACCAGAGCCGCTGAGGGCTGGTGTACCGACCGAAACGCTCTCCGCAACTGGAGAGTTAACAATTTCGCCCTCCACCACCCTGATCCTCGTCTCCCTTGGGTATCTGGTGGTTCCAGATCTTCCTCTTCTCGGGAGAGGCGCCTCCCCTCTTGCCGAGGTCGGGATCCTCCCCGCTAATCCTACAACTGAGGTGTTCGCGGTTATTGCCACCACATTCGTCCTCTCAAGCTGTAGACGCAGCTCCTTCCTCTTCATCTTGGGCGTCGTCCCCATCTTCCCCTCAGCTGCAGAAGCGAGTGGTGCGCTGCCCCCATCTCGTGCTTCTCCTCCCTCTTCCACTTCCATCCGGACGGTAGTTGATTCCGCTGTGGAACCCGTCGGCAACTCCACAGTTAGCCCTTCACAGGAGCCTCCTGGGCCCGAAGCCTCGGGAGTCGATC